AGGTTGACATCGTTCTGTTCCTTCGTCTCTTGTGCTGCTAGTCGTGTAGTAATGGTGGTGTCATCTGCTTTGCTCATGTCTATGGTGTCATTGATAGCCTTCTGCAGATTGTCTCTCGTTTGATTTAGAGTTGCATAAAGAAGGTTGACATCGTTCAGTTCTTTTGCCTCTTGTGCTGCTAGTCGTGTAGTGATAGTGTTGTCATCTGCTTTGCTCATGTCTATGGTGTCATTGATTGCCTTCTGCAAACGGGTGACGTCATAGTCTTCTTTAGTTTCTTGTGCTCTTATTCTTTCACTGGTCGTTACATTTGCCTTTTGCAGTTCTTCAATCTTCTTCCGAAGGTCTAAAATCATGTCATAAAGCTGTTTATTTGAAAGCTGAAAACCAACTTGTGGTTCCACACCTGTGGATTATACATTCAGTTATATTTCCTGATGCATTTGTTACATCAATATCTATTAACTAAAATTTTTATGACTGATATGTAACTTAATGTCACGTAGGGAAAGTGGGGGAGAGATAATTTCCCTACGGACACAAAGATTTCCTCTATGCCAGACTCTCTTTAGTATAGGTTTATTTGGCTTTCTTGTACAACGTAGAGGTTGCTGACTTGACTACCTAACAGAGAACAGATTATACTAAAAATATTTTAAAGTTACAAATAGGATAATTCTGAACAAGAGATCAGAAGAAGGCTTAGGAAGTGATTGTTTGTACAGCAAACAACCCTGCTCTTTTCCAGTAGGCATGTACAAAATTGTACATGACCAAAACCTGTTTTYACTGGAAAAGTACAGTAGATTAATTTGCAGCTGCTTTTTACTACAAAATGTACTTCCTAATTAAAACTGAAAKGCCTTGTCAAACATCCTTGATCCTATGGTTAATGAACAAGTCATTATGAATGACTTACCATTGGTCAATGAAAGAATGTCTATTGACAAGTCATTAAAATAAGGAGATTTCAAGTACATTTGTTATTTAATAAAGAAAATTTAGCAAAAAAGTTACTATTTCCAGAATGTTTTTCTCTAATATTTTCCCTTAATAATATTTTCTCCTTCTACATTAGTCAAGTACATACTACGTATATATTATGTATATCTAATCAAC